ATTGGGGGAGTAACTTCTTCCAAAATTGGGTCGAGATCTCAAAGTCACGCAACAAATGAAGAGTAGTCTTTGGATAGGTTTTACACAATTCACATAACGGGTTGTCCGCCTGATGACGTGGATGGCGCTCGTCGTTAGTCAACAATCGTTCTTTTGCAGCCAGCCATAGAAATTGTTTAACACATTGAGGGCCAACCCAACTCCATATCAGCTTCCAAAGGCGACGTGTAGGGGCCTGCTCCATATGCGCCAAAGAAACATATGTTGAACGGGTCGTAAATTGGCCATTAGACGACCAAGCCCAGAACATGCGATCCGAAGGCTGGAGTAAAGAGGAGAAGCTTTGCCAATTCCATTGTCCCAAGTCGTTGACGTATTTGGAAACGAACCATGTTAATTGCTCCTCTAGTATAACTCCTCGAACATGAGTAATTAAGGCCTCTGAGAAATTAGGCCAGTTATCCCACCAAAAAAGAATATGAGTCCCATCGCCTATTGACCACATGTACCCTTGACGTCATACGACCATACTCTGGCAATTGCATGCATGACCACCGAGCCTGACGAGCAATTAACTTCATTCGACAGTGCGCGGTTGGAGTTTATACTTGCCGCATGGGACCCGCACCCACAGCGACTCAGGCCTGCTTAGCAAGCCCTAAGCGAGCTTCATAAATAGAGCCATGTTCATTCGTCTCTGGTTTTTTAAACCCAGCCCGCCCTCCTCTTTATGCATACATAAAGAGCTCCAATTAACAAGGTGGACCTTTCTTTCTTTGCTTTAGCCACCCCAACAAATCTACGACAGCACTTCTCCAACCCTTCGTAGACCGCCGACCGGATCCATGTAGTTTGCATGGAGTAATAAGGCAAACTGCTACCACCGCCTGGGTTAATGTGATCCTGCCCGCCAGCGACAGTGATGAAGATTTCCACCTAACCAGCCGATGCTCCACCTTCTCCAGAATTCCCTCGTATGTGCGCTTAGTAACTCGCCCGTGTATTAATATTGGCATGCCTGGGTAATTACCCAGATTCTCAACCCTCCAGAAACCGGTTCTTTGAGCAAGGTGTTGTTTGACATGTTCATCTCGACAAAAAGAAAATGCTCGTTTTAGACACGCTGACCTTCAAACCTGAAGCATTACAAAAAACTGATAACACCTCATTAAGCACTTCCACTTGATCGATTGAGGCTTCCATGAATAACAATAAGTCATTCGTGAACATAAGATAGGGAACAGTCACCTCCCCTCGGCCTATTGAAATCGGACGCCACTCACCTTGATCAACTCTAAGGTTAATAAGGTGAGCCAATCTCTCCATTGCCAAGACAAAAAGATACGGCGATATAGGGTCGCCTTGTCGCACACCACATGAGAGGGTGAATTCCTCTGAGATGGCTCCATTAAAAAGGAGCTGCATGGAAGCTGAAGTTATACATGTCATAACCCCTCAAACAAACATATCTGGGCATGCATCCCGCTAGCCGAAGTGTATCTTCAATAAAATCCCACCGAAGATAATCGTAAGCCTTCTCCAAATCCACTTTTACCAAGAAATATCCCTTCTGTCCCTGTTTAGTTTTCAAGAAATGCATGAGCTCCTGAACAATAACAATATTATTATCCGAGATTTGCCGGCCGGACACAAAACTCACTTGAGCAGGCCCAACAATATGCGACAATAAAGGTTTTATTCTGTTACCAAGGATCTTAGCCGCCAGCTTGTACACCACATTAAGAAGGCTAATAGATCTGAACTGAGTGATATTTTGAGTATTATCCACCTTAGGGATCAACCCAAACAAGGTTCTATTCATATGTGATGGCATGATTCCTTCCTGTAAAATCCCACGAACCAAACGGCTCACTGAGTCTCCCACACTGTCCTATTTCTATTGAAAGAAAATCGTGTGAAGCCCATCTATCCCCAGGGACTTCAATGGATGCATGGATCGAAGGGCAAAAGAAATTTCGACCTCCGAGATGTCTCTGGCCAAAGACGCTACCTGACCAGGCTCTATAGGGGGAAACTGTTCAAAATTTAGGCAGGGTGAGATAGCCGGGGCACCGCCAAGTATATGCTCTGAAAAAATTCGACAGCCAGGCTCCGAAGAGAATTTTGGTCCTGACACCACTATCCATCATTTTCTATAAGTCCCACAATTTTATTTTACGACATTGCGCTTTGATCTTCCGGTGAAAAAACTTCGTGTTTTTATCGCCAAACAAAGACCAGTCTCTTTGAGATTTTTGAATCAAGAGGACTTCTTCCTGCATTTAAACCTCTTCCAGCGCAGAACCTAGCTCACGTTCGAGGGCAAAAAATGATTAGTGAGTCGACTTTGCAAAGCCCGTTGAACGCCCAAACTCCTTGCCAGCAGACATTTTTTCCATTTATACACATTCCCAGAAATATGATAATTCCACTGCTTAACTAGAGTCGAGAAACAGTTAGCCGCCTCCATAAAGTCAGAAGTCCCGGACCACGCTTCCATGACAATTCTATCAAAATTCTCATGCAGTAGCCAGGATGCTAAAAATTGGAAGGGTTTGGGCTGTTCAGATGAGGGGCACCCGAGTCACAATGAACCATCAGCGCCGTACGGTCAGACTTTAATCTAGGTAGGTAGGAAACTATACTGCTCCCAAATTTATCCAACCAGGCTTCATTGGCAATGGCTTTATTGAGTTTTTCAGCAACCATACCCCGAAACCAAGTATAACAATAGCCATCAGTACGAACCTCTTGAAGCCCATAATCAAAGAGCAAATCGCCGAGGTCATCACACACGTTAAAGGATTGAGAATAACCATCTCTCCTTTTCGACGACCTTAATAAACAATTCTAATCTCCACTAAGAAGCCACGGTCCCAAAACCAACGACGCAACGTTGCTTAGCACCCTAAAGAGAGACCGCCGTATTTGTGGGTTCGGGCTAGCATACACAAATGTTGCCAGAAAACAAACCTCCTTCATTTGGATCAAAGTGTGGATAAATTGTTGATGACATATGAGAACAGTTACTTCCACCCGCTCTCTCCATAACATCCAAATACCGCCAGAAAAACCTCTCGACTCCACCCAGAGGGACCGGTCAAACCCACTTCGTTTCACGAAGATATCTGCATCGCCCCACTAATACGTGGTTCAAAGACGCCAACCACATCTGGTTTATATTCAGACATAAGATTAGAGAAAGCTTGGCGAAAAGCAACCGAGCCTGCTCCCTGTACATTCCAAGTGACTAACTTCATTAAAGAAACTATATGGGTGAGAGGGTGACACTCGTCAGATACTGCACGGGACACTCGTGTTCTGAGTGGAATCATCTACCATAATCGCATCCATGCTCCCTCGCGCTTCCTCTTTTACTCTTTTGGCACCCGCGACTTCCGGCAGAGAGTCAAAAGTATGGAATGGCGTAGAGTCGACCGCCATGGCTACACTATTAGGTATATCAACCCCAATCAGACCGGAGAAATTCCGGTTGTGTTTTTGACGTGGGCTTTCATCAATATAAACTACCTGGTGTTTCATAGGCTCCAGGCCACTACCAGCTAAAACGAACAACACCTTGGCATGGGCCTCGCTCTCCATGTTATGCGACGAAGGTCCTGAAACCCCTTTCCTATTCACATTTTCGTCCACACCTTGTCCTATTTCTGAAACCTCAGAAACAGGCTTGGGCTCACTGACAATCCCATTACTAGCTGGAGTCTTCGAGGTAGAAGCATGGCGATCATTTGCTCCGTTATAGTTCTTTCCCTTATCCTTCTTCCTCTTACCTACAACCTGCCAGTCATCGGAACCATTTGATTAAGCAACATTATTTGTCAACTGTGTTTTAGCATAACTATTCCCCCCC